TGTATAACCAAGATGTTATAATTGCAATATAATCAAAAGAGTAAGGCAAACAAGGATCACAAAAGAGAATAAGTAGAAGAGCTTACCCTTGGGTTGAGCTCACTAGAAGATATCAAAGAGGAGGATCTCCAGAAGAGATCCTTCCCCTCTGGTAGCCAGCTCTTAAATAGGTCCAGGAGGGGTGGAGCCTGGCTCCACCCCTTCCGGTAGCACAGGTGAATTGCCTTCACCTGTGCTCCTCTGGCTGACTCATGGCTCACCTCAGGTGATCAATCAGAGGTTCAGGCCGTGACTCAGCAGTTCCCATACATATGCACATATTGCAATGTCAGGTGTGTATCTGCAGCATTTTGAACGATGATTCAGACTGCCAGTGAGTAGCATTAACAGCACCTTCAACTCACACCGTAGGAACAAATACTTTATTCAGAAAAAGCACAGGAAGAGAAAGAAGCAGGTCCTTCACAGTCCTACTGAAAATGCTGTGCCTCACGGTCCAGCACAGTAGTTCACTGGCCCTGTACTTCAGTTGCATGCATGGTATTACAAGGATTTTTCCAATCCTTTGAGAACAATCAGCTATTTGCTACAGCACCCAAGTACAAAATCTGTACATAGGCCACTGCAAAAGTAATGCCTCCTATTTATTTCCGTAAAAATCTGAACCAGCAAAGGTGACCCGCTCTTGCTACTGCTGAAGCGCATCACCTACTGCCTCACTGTGCTAATATTCACTGTCTGGCCTCCATAAATGTTCAGCTAGCATCCACAAATATCAATGGGTGACATTTTTCTGCATGGAGAAACACAATTACACATCTTTGCTTCATACATGCTTCCATACCAGACATCGTTTTGTTACAATGCTTCTCTACTGCCCTCTATGACACAGCAACAAAATGTAACAGAACATCTGAGGGAAGGTTGAAGCTCTACTGCCCTAATATCCACCCTGATGTAGCAGCCCAACATAACAACACAGGAGGCATTACTTTCAAAGCAGCCTTCACATGCAAAAGCAGTAACATAATTTCTTGCACCTCCATTCGGGCCAGTATCAGTGCCACCCTGTGATATTAAGAATTATAACGACTTAAAGCAGCTACCACATAAATGAGACTGCTGTAATTACTCAGTATCCTTGTAAGTCGCCACTCTTATTAGGCTGTGAAAAGCCAAGTAGGTTCAGATCCATTTTTGAGATTGTAGTAGAGCTGAACAGCAGAAGCTAGATTGATGTAGATTAGTTTGTCAATTTTCAGGACTTCTGGAGAAGAATACTGGCATTTTCTTCTTTGTCATTTCCTGCTGCATGTCCCTTCCACAAATATCAAAGACAGCATCCAATAGAATTTGCAGTACTACGTACGTACAGTGATTAGCTCCACGACCACCTTTTGAAAGGGAAAATTTCAGTATAGCATAAACCCAGTGCACCACTGACTAGTGCTGGAAAACATAGATACCTTCTGTGAAGATCTTAAGGTAGCCATTGACAGCTTAAAAAACAGGAATGACACTCACTAGACATTCCTAAAGAAAACATGTTTAAGGAGTATGACTGACTGCTTGTTTCTGAGGATACAAATCTATGCAGACTGATTTATTCCAATTAATGAAAGAGAAAAATATCTAAACATCCAGTAATAACTTTACTCATATTTCTGTGGAACTTCATAGCATATGGTTATGATTTTCAACATTGCTTTGCCATGAACTTGCAAGATAATATTTTTCCATTTTGTATGAAGAAAATGTCTAGCTTTGCTTTGGATATCACATCTTTTTTTAAGTTCCTATTTAACTATTAACTCCTTTCTTAATTTCACAGCTGACTTTGTATATATAATGTAAAGAAATGGAGAATAGAAGTATTTTTAAAATAGTACGTCACTTCTGTAAACACTATCTAGAATGCTATTCGTTAGAGGCAGACACACAGATTATTCTGAACCCCAATGGCTGAAAGAAGGCTAACACCATTTAGATTATTGATTAGAAATATCCAGCCTCATCCTGAATCCCCTTGGTCTGGCAATGGTAGAAATTAACAAGTTATAAAGAACTTAAAACACAAAAAGCACAAAATTTAATTAAATTTTCAAATAGCCAAAGTGTGCTAATGTGGAATTTCCTGCAGCACAGCAACTATATCAGAAAAGATATGTATATTTTATCCAGAACCGCTCCATAGGTGCTCTGAGGTCATACGCTTTCAGTGCTTGTTTGCTCACTAGTGATGTATGGAGCACAAGTGTTGCACACTTACACTAAGTTTACAGTTTCACCAAGCTACACCACAGATGGTCTCCGAAGAGTTAAGTTTCTCTTTGTTAACAAGCACAGACATAAAACACAGTCAGCACAAAACTCAGCCATCACAAAAGAAATGTAAATATTGACTATTTAAACTAATTATTTTTAACTATTTGACTAATTAAAATATTTAATACTCCTGTATTTCGTGTTCTAACAGACCAAAGCCATAGTCCCACCTCTTCTCCAATTTACATGTTTCTTTCTTTCTGCAGGCTTTTTTTTACTCAGCTCCTGACCGTCCAAACAGTGTCAGGCCTGACAGAATGCCTCTCTGCTGACAGGTCAGCTGTCCAGCGGATAGCAGCCTCTGTGCCAGGATGAACAGCCGCTCTTTTTCCGACAAACTCAGATGAGGAAGGCAGTAGATATCTGACACAGAAACACAGCATTCAGTCCAACGCTGCGTTAACCAAACACTAAGCATCCTCTAGATAATGACTTCCTATTATCTGAGTTATTCCTACAAAACACTGCCCAATCTATCATATTACCGCATACCTAAGTTAAGAACACAAAATTTCAGCAAGTCGCTTACTTTTATAAACACCACAATCAGCGGGACCCAAACACCTTTTCGGAGCAGGTCTCACAGCAGATCCCCTCTGACTGTGGCAATTCACCGATAGTTTGAAAAGTTGCTTCTGCATCAGCCTGCAGCATTTCTGAGACCCGTCTGGCTGCCGGATGGAGGTCAGCAGAGCCCTGCGCTGTAAGCGATGGATGAAGCACAAAGCAACTGTTAACTTCTTTTCTCAGACAGTGCTGAATGACGACCCAGATGCACCCGCAGTCCTTCAGTGACACACACCTCCTCGGTCCCTAACACCGCGCTTTCCACGTTACAAGCTCGCGCTCCGAGTTGCTGAAGACAATTTTTCATCACATCGTACTTTAATGTTTTACAACATACCGAACCTAGCCTGCCTTATACGCCACCTGCCCAAGGATCAGAAGCTCAGAGCGTGAAAAAACAATTGCTAAATAACTCCAAACAGCTCCGATCGACAGGCCGACCGCCCAGCTGTGCCGCTGCCCTTCTCCCCTCAGGCGGGGCGTGGGCTCACGCCGCACGCAGCACGCGGCGCGCCCTCACAGGCCGACTCCGCTCTCCTCTCCTCACAGGCCGACTCCGCTCTCCTCTCCTCCCCCTCCCTCGCTTCCGCCCCCTGCGGTTCCCGCCAATCCCGACCGTCGGTGTTGCGTCCCGGAGCCGCGAAGCCCCGCCCTCCCCCCTCGCCGCTCACAGCGCGGCCGCGCCCGCTGCTCGTGGCGGCCGGCGGTTGGCGGCCCGCGGGCGGCCAATGAGGAGGCGGCAACTCAGAGCAGGCGCTCGGCCGGACGGGAGGCTGCGGTCGAGTCCGAGTCGCGGGGGGTCGGAGCAGGGTTGCGTTGTTTCTCTGTGCGGCGGCGAGATGAGGCGGCGCGGACTGTGGGTGCTGCTGCTGCTGCTGCTGGGGACGGCGCAGCTGGCCGTGCTGATGGCGCAGGAGGACGGCGAAGGTGAGCGGGCGGCGGGAGCTGGGAAGGGCGGAGGCCGCCGGGCGAGTTGGGGCCGCGATCAGTGGGTGCGGGGTCAGTCGGTGCGGCGATCGATCCGAAACTGACGTGAAGCCGAGCTTGTTGTGCGGTGATGTTGGGGCGGAACGTGGGCTGGGGCGGTGAATATGCTGAGAGAAAGGCGAGGCTGGAGCTGGTGGGGGGCAGATCGTGTCCGCTAGTCCTCCGCACGTGGAGGAGAAGGAAGGGAGCGTGCGGTCGGTGTGCCGCAGGAAAGATGGAGGCTGCGTTTGTGAAATGGCCATTTGAAGCACCTGGCGACGTGTGCCTTATCTTCACTCGTGTCTTCTGGAGATGGAGGCCACCTCGCTGTGCTCAGGCTGGGAGATACGCTAATGCCCTTCTTAAAGGAAACGCGGGCGGAATCTGAACGAGCTGCATCTAAACTTCACTGGCTTTCCTACAGGATCCATTTCACTCGAGGAAAAAAAAATGGCTAGGCCAGATTTCCAGTAAGTGTTGAAAAGCTCGGTGAAGCCAAGCTTATGGGCTAGTTTCAGAGTAACCCATCATCCTGAGAGGCCTGCCAGTCAGCACCACGTATGTGAAGTTTTAAAACAAGGGTCAGCTTTACTATATTTATTTTTAAATGACGTACTTGTGTAGAGATTTCTGAGAGTATTTTGTTGGAATTTTACTGGAAGACAGGTTCTAGCAAAGCTCTTGCTTCATTGCTTTGACCATTTCCTTTGCATATAGCTTCAAGAAACAAAAATACTTCGTTGCATGCAGCTGCTTTGTTTTCGTGAGCTCTGTTATACAAATATTATCACACTACTTCTGCCGTATCAGGTGTCAGTTGCTCATTCTGTGACAGCTCTCCTAAAAAATATAAATCAGTAATGCTGAATAAATGAAGGGTGCCCCAGCTCCCCTTATCTCTCAGGTAGTTCATGAAAAGCTTCAGCCCTGATGTATTAGAGGTAGCTCAAGTGGCTGTAGGAGTTGGTGAAGTTGTGAATTCCAGAGTTCGTGGGCATCCCAGATAGAGGTGCTCTGCTTCAGCAAGGGGCAGACTGGAGTCCTGCTTTTCCATACCTCCTTCCTTTGGGTGGAGCAAGTGCTTGGGTATGTTTGTGCAGCGATCTAAATACATCCCTGTCAAAAAAACCCTGGTGTTGGCAGACACACAGCTACTTCCAGTGAAAGATACAAAATTACTTCAGCGGTATATATTGGATCTTGTGGTTTAGCCCTTCAGCTGTGCAGAATCTTTGTTGCTTTTCCATACTCTGAGCATATGGTGCCGCTATGGCGGTGTACCTTCTCATCAGGGAAGGAAGGTTAGCATTGTGAGCAGAAGCAAGAGTAGCAGCCTGATAGTTAGAATCAGAGCTGCACAAGCAAAATTGACTGACAAATTTTGCTCAGACTTTTTTTGTCAGTGAAAATCAAGTCTGACATGTTTTCAAGCAACTGGCATGGTACAGCTCTCTGGAAGGGAGTTCAGGCACCTTGAACATCCTGTTGTGAAACATCCCTCAGAACCATGGAGCGCTGTTAGTAGAAGTTGTGACTGCTGAACCCCCTGAAAAACTGGCTTTTTCACCATGGTAAATGAATGCCCTGGTAGTTCTCCCTGGAAGCTTAATCCTTTCCTGCAACTGTTCTGATGCAGCAACAGAGAAGCTGTTGTCCAGTTGTAAAGTTTAGCTTCAATCAGATAAAGCAATAGTAGTTGCTGAGAAACTTGATCCAAGCGACTTCTGTTGTGTGAGAAATGATCCCCTGTGATCTCTCACCTCATCAGACATGAATATTTTAGTATCATGCAGAGTTGCACTCAAATTAAAATAAGCATGTCTTCTGCACGAGTGCATTGTTGTGTGAGAGCTTATGAGAGCTTACACACTTATTATCTTTTTTTTTTTTCATGGAAAAATGGTTGCTGCTGTCTAACAATGTGTGATGTTTGGTGTCTGTGGTGCCTGTGGTGAGCTTGTTGCTATGGTTTGCTCTTGGCCTAAGAATAGGCTGAGAATTCTTTTTTATTGCTTGTGCCTTCCCAGTGGATATTACATGCTTCTAATGCTTGCATTTCAAATTTCAGGTGAAGTCAGAAGTATTTTCAGCATTCTTGTCCTGGACAAGTAAACTGCATGTACACTGTCTACTGCCTACTGCTGTCAGTCGTGTCAACTTAGTCAAAAGCCAACTAAAATGTATATAATATACTGTTTTGATCAATGAAACTTCAACTTTCATTGTACTTCTTTTAATCCTGGAGCTTACAGTGGTTAAAAGGTCCTTAGTTTCAATGACGTATGGTTTATATTAGGGATAAGGTATTCTCATCACTTGTCCTCTGATAGAAATTCCCTTAGAACCATTCAGTAAGATTTGGCTAGAATTATAGAAGTTTTGACAAAAATCTTTAGAAGACGTGGATAATCAAATGTTAGAGAAACAGTCCCAACTTCCAAGTCAGGGCTGGTTGGTATGTCTTGGCACCAGATATCGTATGTAACCCCTGCTTCTCTAATTTAGCAAGTGTCTTCTCCAAAGGCCTGTTTTGGATTGGTGGTCTTAAGCCAGAGGCTTCCCCTGAAGTTCCTGAGGGCAGTTCTGACTCTGTTTCCAAAGGGCGCCTCACATCTCCACATATATTGAGTAGGAGTTTTGGGGTGCTGTGTGATGTTGCTGTGATCCTGCACTCGCTCAGCAAGTCTGAAATTGGATATCAACTGTGCCCGTCTTGCCCAAGGAAGCGTATCTGGTGCCCTGCTTTCCCATGGTTCAGGAAGACAGCAATATACTTTAGTAGCAAGTGCTGCATAGGTTGGAATACATTAATTCTCACTGTGTCTCTTTTAACTTGCTTTGAAGAGCAAAATATGTACTGAGACTTTGGTGAAGCTAACGGAGGGAGCTTGTGTGGAAATGAAATGGGGCAGGTCAAACACCTGAGTCCAGTTACTTTGCAAACCTGGGCAGCTGTCAAATGTGAAGGAGGAATTAACCTGTTTTGATGCTTTCTTTTTCTAACTATGGGGTATACTTAATCTGTCGCTAAGTTGGTAGACTTATTTTAACATTAAACTTCACACAACCTAATCTGTACTGGTTATTGTTTGGGGTTTTTTTTACATTTTTACTTTTCTAGAATCTGTTATGCAAGAAGTTGATGATGAAGAAGAAGAAGGTGGTGATGATGATGATGATGATGATGATTCTGAAGTTAAAGAAGAAAATGGTGTGTTAGTTTTGAATGATGCTAACTTTGACAGCTTTACTGCAGACAAGGACACTGTGCTCCTGGAGTTCTACGCACCATGGTGGGTTTGCAGCCTGTGATACCTTCTTAAGTGCAGTGTGAGATGGGTGCCAGGAGCTTCTTTGGCAATGTGCAATCCTAGAAAGCGTGCTTGGGAGGTTGTTGATTTTGAGGTAGAAATAGTTGCTTGTTTCTACTTTTTTTCCCAGTTGCCTTTATTGGAGTGGTTTTAAGGAGTGAAAAATTCTTGATGGCATTTTTAACACAGCAGTGGGATAATGTGAAAAAGCAGATATTTGGATAATGACTGGTTTTAAAGACTTGTATAGGAGTAGTGCTGTACTGTGATGTTGTCCAGGGCAGGAAATGGTTCTGGAAGTCTCATTGCTCCTGTACCATAAGAGCACTTGTCTGTCACCTCAAGTGTCATAGAGGTCATTCAGTCACAGAATCACCAAGGTTGGAAAAGACTAGCATCATTTGTGCTGAGGGCTCCTGCGCCAGGGGCAGCACTGTCCTGGCTCTGGCTCTGCTCTGTACCTGTTGGAGAGGAGAGATTATCTCAGAGAGCCCCAGAAAGGCCGTGTGATGTGACTTGACAGCTTGCTCTCTTGTCCCATTGGCATACCAAGAACTTGTGCACTCATATAAATGGAGAAAGCTTCCCTAGTTAGGAAGTTGTCCTTCAGCAGTTGGAATCTGTGTCTTTGTTGGAAGGATGTTATGATGTGAGGACATTGCTGCCTTGTATTACTAGTTTTAATAGTGCCTTGTGCGCTGCTGTTGTACTGCTGTGCGCTGAGTAACAACAGAGTACTATGGGGCACTGTCATGGATACAAAGATCTTTAGGCAGGATGCATCTCCTCTTGCATTCTCATGGGCAAAAGTAATAGGATTATTAAAGGGAAAAGCAAGAGTAAATGTTTGCAGTCAAGGTGATTATTTTGTGCTAGTGTTTCAGTGGAAGAGGGGGGAATATTTCTTGCTTGAAGTAGACTTGGCTTTTAATTAATACCAGTCTCATCATGCAGAACTCCACCCCTGTTTGGTAGTTGTAGTTTGCTACCATGAAAACTGAACGTGAAGCATAGCATAAGGACGTGTAACAACCACAAACTAGTGTATTTTCTTTTTTTTCCTCTATGTTCCCTCCTGCCAATTGAGAGACTAAAGAATACAGGCTTGTTACATACTAGTTTCTATCTTTATTTTCCTTTGTCTCCAGTTTATCAAAGTCTGTTCACTTCTCTGTATGCTTTGTATACTGGCCCTGTCGTGCCAGCTTCTTCAGCAGTAGCTTCTGCTCTTCCCAGGGAGTTCTGAGTAGACCAGGTGCTCTGATACTGGGGTGTGTGTGAGGTGAAGATTCATTAAGGCACAATTAACTTCTGGTTCATTTTTCTCTTTAGTTTGAATTTAGGATACCATGTAGAGAAGATGAACCCAAACTAGGGAGAAGCTGAAGTCTTGAGTGAGATGGTATCTGGGGGCAGGGAGGAGAAGCACAGTACAAGGTTTGCAACTTTGTAAAAGTAATTACTAAATTTTTTTTATAGGGCTTTGAAACTTAGAATGGAGAGTGGAAAAATAAAAGGTTGGGGTTTGTACAAACAGTACCTGGCTATAGTTTTTTTCGCCCTCACACCACCATCATTCCTCCCTATCCCTCTTACCACCCACCTCCCCCCTTCCCAGATCTGAAAATATAGCAAGACAAATAATGTTAGGTTGATGATGTGAACATTTGGCAGAAGGCCTTCTGGAAATGCAGAGTAGCAAAAAACTCCTCTGTGTCTTTCTTGCATTTGTATATCTACATATGTATTCCTTTGACAGGTGCGGGCACTGCAAGCAGTTTGCTCCTGAGTATGAAAAGATAGCCAAAACCCTGAAGGAAAATGACCCTCCTATTCCAGTTGCCAAAATTGATGCTACTGCAGCCACTGCGCTAGCAAGTCGTTTTGATGTCAGTGGTTACCCAACCATTAAAATCCTGAAAAAAGGCCAGCCTGTTGACTACGATGGTTCTCGAACAGAAGATGGTAAGAACTGGTCCTTGCAGTTCTTTGTAACAAAGCAAGGAAGTGTATGATCTTGCTGCTTGAAGGAATTATTATGAGAGACTTCGATTTCAAGTTCTATTATGTGAAGTAGAATAATATTATGAAGGCTGAAATTTTGCCCAATCTTCTAAAGCCTGTGTGTTCGGGGACAGTGTTGGTAGTGGGTGGTTCTCTTAGTCGTGGAAGACTTCCTGAATAACGGCTTGATTACAGTAGGAGGTATTGTGCTTTTTGAGGGATCGACCTGTAGGAAACAGTCTGTAAATTGTCAGTAGATATAAAACCAGATATTTATCACTTAATGAATGTGTCCAGCTTCATTACAGTCAGAAGGAAAAATTGCCTTTTCTGTCTGCTGAGAATGAAATTCGTGTCATAATTTCTAAATAATTAATGTAATAATATGATATCTATTGTTGCATTTGATACACTACAGAAATGACAGTGCAAACTTTGTAACTGAGCTATTGAACTGTTTTTCAGCAATTGTAGCCAAAGTCAAGGAGATTTCTGACCCCAGTTGGACCCCTCCACCAGAAGCTACTCTTGTATTGACCCAGGATAATTTTGACGATGTTGTGAAAGATGCTGACATAATTCTGGTGGAATTCTATGCTCCATGGTAAGCAAGAAGGCAGTTGCTTCTGCTTTCCTAGCACACCTGTTCTGAATACACTTGGTGAAGCTGTTTTGCTATTATGCCTCTTCTGAATCTTCTGAAAAGGCTTGCGGCTTATCCAGTGCAGAGGTAGAAGGTAGCTAGCAGGACCTGGCTTATTAAAACTGCCCTCCACCCTCCAACTTCCTTAGGTGTGGGCACTGCAAAAGGCTTGCTCCAGAATATGAGAAGGCCGCCCAAGAGCTCAGCAAGCGCACACCTCCCATTCCTCTGGCTAAGGTCGATGCCACTGCTGAGACTGAGCTTGCAAAGAAGTTTGATGTTACTGGCTATCCAACTCTGAAAATCTTTCGCAAAGGCAAACCTTATGACTACAGCGGTCCGCGAGAGAAATACGGTACTGTGACTCTTCGTCTTCTTAAGGGCTTGACTACAAATGTAGAGCATACACACGTGTCCATAAGAGTAGCATGGGGAAGGTGAAAAAACATGGTCTTGTACCCACATATCCCATCAGTATAAAGCTGTGTCATCTTTGTAACATCACCCCATGCTCCTTAACAAGCTCCATTAATATAAAAATAATTTAAATATGCAAGCAAGCGGTAGGAGTAAATGGGCAGCCATTAGTTGCACTTGGGTGCCCTATAAGGGCTGGTGAAGTGCTCATACTAGCTTGTATCAATACTAGCTTGCAGAAACATTAGGAATAACCAAGTGGAATACTGCCTCATAGCGGGGTCATGAGATGGTGAAGGGTCTAAAATTTCAGAAAGGTGGGTTACTTGAAAGGTCAGCTGACATACCTGGAATTCCTGAAACCGACCTAAAAGAGAATACCCAGAACTGCAGCACTTGAAGACCAGGACCATTTTCTTGATCACTTTGTTGGTTATTTTGCAAAGATTGCACAGAAATGAAGGTGTCAATGTGAAATATACTATTATGCTTTTCTATAGAGGAAGTGCCTGAACCTTTCAGTTCAATAAATATTTATGCAACTTCTTGGGTGTGGGTTTGTCTAACAGGTATTGTTGACTACATGATTGAACAGGCTGGTCCTCCATCTAAGCAGATTCAGGCTACGAAGCAGGTACAGGAATTTCTGAAGGATGGAGATGATGTCATTATCATTGGTGTTTTTAGTGGAGAAACTGATGAAGCCTATCAGCTCTATCAGGAAGCAGGTAATGCATGGTTTAAAATACTAGAAGTGTGATTTGTTGAGCCTTGTTGCTCAAGGCTTTGGGCAGGGGAAGTTCCCTTATTTATTCTCTGAATTCAGGGAGTTTAAAAAGGGAAGAGAGAGACTCTAGGGTGATCTTCCACTTCTACTGAAGGGGGAAAAGCCCTCGCACTAGATCTTGTGCATGTAACTGAAGTCACAGTAAGTAAGTCACAGGGAATAATATACTCTTGATGTGGGGTCTCCAAAAATATGTGACCTAGAGAGATGGGAACACTCTGCTGAAGAGCAGATCAAAATGTCTTGCTAGGTATACCATATGATTTTGCTAGTTTTATACTTGACCATTCCAAATGCTGGACTTTGCTGAGCTCGTTCAGGCTGGGGGAACTTGAAGGAAGGATCATTATTTATCTCTGAATGACTTTATCTTGGCAGTGCTTATTCTTAAAAATTGTTGGTCAGGTAAAGCGCTCTTTCAGGTGTCACTGGTGTGTGCTTCCAGTGAAAAGCACTGGAACTGCCCTCTAATCAATGTCTGTGTCTCATGTGATTGAACTGCATGCAGCCTTGCTTTCTGTCTGATATTCAGAGTAGTAAGGGCAAATTCTCTTTCTGTGGTCGCTTGCTTCTGACGTGGTTTTCATCTGGATGCTCCAGCATGGAAAGATACAAAACTGTCTCCCAGGTAGCCCCGAAAGAAATGGATTGATTGGGTGCCTTCCAGAGTTCCTTTCCAGCTCTACTCTTATTTGGAGGGAAGCCTAGAGTAGGTGACTGAAAAAAGCAGCTGCTTCACTGTGTGTTTTGGAAGCTGTTCAGTACTTTTAAATACTTATTCTAAACCATCAAGTAGATAAGCAGTTGAATAGCATTCAACTAGTGCTTCTCAAAGTGTGTTTTCTCACTCTGTTTGGTGGCGAGAGGTGTTCTCTAAGGCCCGGAGTTGTTCCATGCCTGTGTGAGTGACTGTCCTTGCAGTAACAAGATTTAGGTTGAAAGCCGTCAATTTGGTTCTTGGTGACTTTTCATTCTCCTTAATTTTAATCTTTTAGCTAACAGTTTAAGAGAAGATTACAAGTTCCATCACACCTTCAGCAACGAGATTGCAAAGCTATTGAAAGTATCTCCTGGAAAGCTGGTTGTCATGCAGCCGGAAAAGTTTCAATCAAAGCATGAATCCAAGATGTATGTTTTGGATCTTAAAGTGAGTGAGAATATGATGCAGGCATTGCTTATAACATGTCCCTTCCTTATTCATGTGTGCACCGATGCTGGTTTCCGGTACTGTGTAACAGAATCAGCACTTACATGATGTCTTGTCCCCGTTTTTTTTTTTGAAGCAGTATTCTACAGATGGATCAGAGATCAAAGAGCACGTAGTGAAACATGCTTTGCCTCTAGTTGGCCATCGCAAGCCTTCCAATGATGCTAAAAGATATGCGAAGCGTCCCCTTGTGGTTGTCTATTACACTGTTGACTTCAGTTTTGACTATCGTGTTGGTAAGTCAAGTTCCCTGTTCATCTGTTTTAAAAGGAAATGAGTAATAAGTAACTAGAAATTACTAACCCTGCTGCATTCTGGTTCTTCAGCTACCCAGTACTGGAGAGGCAAAGTCCTAGAGGTAGCCAAGGACTTCCCTGAGTATGTGTTTGCTGTTTCTGATGAGGAGGATTATTCTTCTGAAATAAAAGATCTAGGTCTGCTTGAGAGTGGAGAGGATGTAAATGTTGCCATTCTGGATGAAGGTGGCAAGAAATATGCCATGGAGCCAGAAGAGTTTGACTCTGATGCCCTCAGACAGTTTGTGCTGGCATTCAAAAAAGGTAAAGGATTGTTTTCCTTTTACTTTTTTTCTTTCTTTTCTTTCTAAAGAGCCATTTGCTTCGCTTTTTCCTTCAGTGGATATTCTTCTGATATTCACATGAAATTCATGGCTGCAGTGAAATCATATGTGAAGTCTTATAATGCTTTATGGCTTAAATCTTACTGGGTGTTCATTGCCTTCCCCCTCCTCCCTTTTTATTGTTAACTTCATGAACTTTGCTGTTTAAGCTGTGCTGTGGCATCTAGCAATATTTTAACAGCCGATGTGTTTGGCAAGCCTAAAATGTTCTCGCAGCTTTGAAGTGCCAGGTGATTGTTGGCATTCATGGCAAGTGTAATATATATAAATCCCTTTCAAGCACATTATGGCTGGATACTTGTGAGCAGAGGGAGAAAGCTTCGAGGGTGCTGTGAAACAACTTGTCCCTGCTTCACGAGATCGCTGTGCTAAATGTCATCAGCAAGCTAGGCAGTGTTTCCTGCAGAGGTGAAATTGATGACTAGTGCAGTGCTTTTCTTTGGTGTGAAGATGTATTCTTACCCTGTTTTTCATAGTGGAAATACAACGGTTGCTCTTACTGTAATTAACAATGGTGTGTGTTATCCTTTCTCCTAGGAAAACTGAAGCCTATTGTGAAGTCGCAGCCGGTGCCAAAAAATAACAAAGGGCCTGTGAAAGTAGTAGTGGGTAAAACTTTTGATGCCATAGTAATGGATCCAAAGAGTGATGTTCTCATAGAGTTCTATGCCCCGTGGTGTGGACACTGCAAGAAACTAGAACCGGTGTATGCTGAGCTAGGCAAAAAATACAAGCATGAGAAAAATCTAGTCATAGCCAAGATGGATGCAACTGCCAACGATGTGACAAATGATCGCTACAAAGTGGAAGGATTCCCTACCATCTACTTTGCTCCAAGGGACAAGAAGAACAATCCTATTAAATTTGAAGGCGGTGACAGAGATCTAGAGCATCTGAGTAAATTTATAGAGGAGCATGCTACAAAACTCTCTAGAACAAAAGAAGAGCTTTAGAAAAGATGAGGGCGATAAAGAATTCTTTGTACGTTGTAGTTTAAAGAAAGTTACTGACAAAACTTCAATGAGAGAAGAATTCAGCAGCTTGAACAAGGAAATTCTTGAGCAGTAAAGTAATTGCAATATCTTTTTTTGTATTACGGAAAAAATTCTGGACACTGAACTTTGATACAATTGTCTTGTTTGTTATAGCTTTGATCTATGGAGATAAAATACATCATTTATTTTTTGTGACTATCTTGAGCTTGATTCTTCTTGATTCCTATACATCTGTTTTTCTTTTTCTTTTTTTTTTTTTTTTTTTTTTTTTTTAAGTTAAAATAAAAAACCAAAAAAAGAACCAAAACCTTCTGCCAAATAGATTTGTCTTATTTGTTGGTCAGGCTATTTTGGCGGGCTTGGGGGGCTAGCCAAGCTTTCTCTTGCTATGTTTCTGTGTATCTATCCCAGTGACAATTACTGTATTCAGTGCTGACAGTAAGAAAGGGTGGTGGGTTTTTTTTTTGTTTTTTTTGTTTTAAGTGTGGATAAACTATTAAATCCTACTTAGATAAGACAAAGTGAATTGCTAATTAAATACATTCTAGGCCTTGTCTGCTTTTGCTTTGTGAATCTCTGAGGAAAGGGTGATACTATAATACCATTTTTTTTCTAATTGAATTCCAGTTCCAAGTTCACATTAACTAATTTATATATGTAGTCTTCTAAAAAATAATGTCTGCGGAGCTAGTGCTTGGATTTTGCCAGATCTATGCATTGATGTCTTCTTTTTCAGAGGGGAAATGTTTGCTGGTGATTCTTAAGGAAAACAGGCTGAGACCTTCTCACCGACCCCTGGAAAACACCACTTGTCATCTTTTTCACTGTGGCAAAGGCTTTCCTCTACTGTCCCAAAACATGCAGGTTAATAGTAAGCTTAGGCAGTGCTTCATCTTTAAGACTCAGGCCGAATGTGTTGTCTTCATATCATTTGCTGTTTCTGTTTAAGCTTTTCTGTAGAGCCTTCAAAAGCCATGGTCTTTGCTGAGTGTCTCTGCATTGGCAACAGGTCGGATTCAGCTGAGCATTCACTGATGTTAGGGACAATGTTTTCAGCTTTGAAGAATGTATATAAGTGTAATAACGCAGTCTGTCCTGCGTCTGCCAGTTGTTATCAGTATTGTGAAGAAGTAAAAACAGACTTCCTACATCTGTTTTCAAGCATAGTTCTGTTTCTGTCCTGAAGCAGATACCTTGCCTTTAGGAAGCTAGATTGCACTTGTTCTTGCAATACATTAGTTACAGGCTAGTTACAGTGCAGAGATTTTTTCCACAGCAGATGCCTGACCAAGAGAGCAGGGATAAATATAGAATGTTTAGAAGGGAGGGGAAAAAGTCCCTTTCTGGTGATGAGTATTACAACTAGGACCGATTTCTTGGGACTGTGTCAAAGCTGACAGATTCCCATCTCTTTCTTTAGCTGCAAACTTACTGCTGGTGCTGTGCTGCTGCTGTGTATCTTTGCATCCCACAGGAGGTGGTGTGGGCAGAAGCCACCACAGGTTGAAACAAAGCTCCCCAGCATGTAGAAAAGTCTTTGCAGCAAAGCAAGGTGTGCTGGCACAGTGCTCCTCGCTTTTCCTAACTTCTGCATCTGGAGGCATCCAGGGTCACAGTTATTTCAAGGCCTAAATTTTTTTCTGGGATGGCAAAGCTTAAGCCAGAGCTGCATCTCAGAGGAATAAACCAAGCTGTAGTATTACTAATTTAATTTCTACGTGGCTGTGAGCTGAAAGAGCAGGCGCTGTTACCACTGTTTTGGGGTTCTAAGTATCAGAGAGGATGAGAAATTCTTTTCCTTACGCTTATGTCATTTGGCTGTATTTACTACAAGTGTTTGTGCTACCTTCTATTTATCTTGACTGCTTTTCAGTACAATAGAGAATAGTGTTGTCCCTTGACTTTGAGAACAGTCACACTGGAAAGCAAACTGATTTCCTGTATGGGATCCCCTGCTGTCAATAACAGACTTTGTGATACTCAGTCCTGTGCCAGTGGTCCTACTGGGATGGCTTCATTATTAGGCCCCTGCTGTATAAAACCATCTATGTGAGGAGTGATTTTTTTTTAATTATTTTTATTTCTATGTGTTCCATGTCTTTTAAGGAGTATGAGTCATACCATCTCTTGGAGTTTCTATCAAAGGTGTTATGCTTGTCCGCTTCTCATTTTCTAGCGCATTAGGATGCTTTCCTTATCTACAGTAAGGTATTACCTGCATACCAGTGATCATTTTTGATGCTACCCCTTTTATAGAAGGGGGGAAAAAACACATGCAGTGCAGAAAAGGAAGAGGGACTGTCACAGGGCTCATCTGCTCTTATCCATGACAACGCGAACATATGGCGCCATCCTGGGTTGTAGTTACAAGTGAAGCTACAACAACTCCAGGCTTCATCACTGGCTTTTGTAGTAGTAACAGTTCTCAGGCTCCAAGGAGCTTGGCCTTGTGTAAATTTCTTCCAGTGTGCTCATGCCTACAGCTTAGAGAGAACAGAAATTGACCTGTAACCTAGTACAGTTCAGAGCTGAGTGTTCAGGGCAAGAACAAGGACAAGGGTGTGCAGCAACATCAGCATAGCCAGTGCTTTATAATGTTTTAGTATCTGTGCCAATTAAAGCAGTAAGTACTGGCCTGGGGTATTGATATTGTGTTAAATGCTAGCTTTTTTTAGTACTGAGGACTACAGTGGGATATGTCTCTGCAATGTTATTATATGGTTTCTGTTTCAAATAATTCTGTTATTATAAACTGCTCATTATGGTGATGTGGGGATGGACCAAGATCTGACTGGTTGCAAGCAAGGCACTGCAGAGCAGAAAACTGGTCTGCAAAGACTGTCTTTGCTCTTACAAGGCATCAGGCTCCTGGAAAGTGAAATGTGAGTTGGTGTGTATGATAAAGGGCTAAAGGCTCCTCAGAAAGTAGCATTAGCCTAGCAGTCAGATTTCTGCCCAAGCTGTCAGGAAAGGACAGAAGCCACTGTGAGCTACCTGTGCTCCAGAATGCTTTTTGGTCACGGATCAGAGGACTGTGTTCTGCAGCCTGGGGAGTGATTGCATCAAGTTTCATGTAAGCAGGTATGCAACCCACTTTATTAAGCTGATACAAGGCCATGTGGTTGTTAAGGCTTTAGCTTGATGTACTCAAATTGTTTATCTCCCTTTTTGGTGCAGAGTGGTGATCTGTGAGCAACCCTAGCTGAAGGCACTGCAATACTATAGTGCCTTGCCCCTGTTGCCAGGTATTTCTGGGACATGAAGTACGAGGTGTGGGCTGTTGCATGGATCACTGCACATCTCAGTGGCATCAGGGACTTTTCCTGGTGCTTTCTGAACCTGTAGGAGGCTGCAGGAAGCCACAAGCAGAAGAAAACTGGGCACACACAACCTTGTGAGTGTCCAGAATCTCACAGCATACAAGGCAGCTCTTTCAACAGCAACAGTCACTTGGCTCTGAAGCAGCTGCTTTAGACACTGCTGTGCCTACTTTCAGAGACCAGAGCCACAGACTGCTGTCACTTCAACATCGATGCTCAAGTGTGCTGGGAGCACGTGAGCTGGTCTGTGTTGCCACCCTGGGCTTTGTATGGTAGCTTCTGGGGCAAATTTATTGGTGGGAGCTGGGGTGAGACCGCCTGTGTTGGGACGTACTTGCATTGGGAAGGATGCAGCCATCCCAGTTTCTACCCTGCATGTAGGGAGAAGAAGAGTTTCTGTATGAATTACCACAAATCTGCACATCAGCAAGATGGAAGGTTCCCTTTCAGAAAAATGCTGTTCATTCAAATCCTAACCTGTATGTCCTTGATATAATTAAAAAAAAAAAAAAAAAAAAAAAAAGTGGAGGACATGCAGCTTCATTTAACACATACATGCAAAAGCTGATTCCTGTCGACCTGCTCTTCATTAATGTGCTGTTTGCTTTATCTAAGCTACATAATCTTCCTGAAATTCAGTGTGTTTTGCCTTACATTAGAGGGGAGTTATTCTGCAGTACAGCCTAGCAAATTGCTGCTGAAAGTGATAGAAGCAGTGGAAAAGAAAATGCAGCAGAAGATGCACTCAAAGAAAAAAAAAAATGGTAACCCAGATTTCCATAAGGGCAGAGGAATCAAGACTAGATGGGATCATTTACTATTTATTTTAGTTGCTTTATATAGCAGGCCAAATTCCCAGCTGTTAATCGAGCCTAATAACTCGCAATTAAGCTCTGCATCTGTTTTTTTTTGTTTGTTTGTTTTTGTTTTTTGTTTTGTTTGGTTTTTTTTTTTTTGTTTTTTTTTTTTTTGAAGTGACGGAATCATAGAGCTTTGGTTAAATGCTTGTGCTACACTAATTTAAATATGAAATCTGGATCATGTTGTGAAAGTGGCGCTGTTATGAATAAGGAAGGCAACTTTGTGTCCACCTGTGGGGTGACACTTCTGCCTCTACCTAAAAAATGGTCTTCACGGGAGGCCTAGAAGCAGTCGGCCTTCAGTAGCGTTCAAGATCCTTTCAACAACTCTGAAGGAGAAATAACAAAGCCTGTAACTACGGCAGATGCAAACTCAGGCGGTATTTATTGTTGTTCTAGGCAGACCACTGGAATGCAGTAGCTGTGCCGATCCACCTCCCGTCGTTCTGAGGGATCATCTCAGCGCCCAATTCACACAAAGCTGCTGTTAAATCTTCACATACAGAAGTCACTGTTCAAACGAAAATGAGCTGACAAGGGTGTGGTTATGGTCTGCCCCTCCTCGCTCTGCCGTTTTCATGCAGTCTCCGTAGTGGAAATGTCCGTTCCTTCTAGGAGCAGTGATCCGATCCCCAGCTGAATGCTGTGCCCCGCAAAGCCTGAGGTTAAGGTTTGTGCCAACTGGCCTCCTGCCAAAGAGATTTGATGACAGACAATGAATTGCCCACTTACATATCTTATATACTTAGTATATTATATATATACTATATATACTTAAATATCACTTATTTCCTACTCTTGTCCTGGTCGGAGTATACTTGGATAAGGCATTCTGAACAGCAACTCACAGGGAAATAACCCTATGCCTCCCTACGTTTTGCACTGATTTGTGCCAGGGTCAAGGCTAAAGGTAGCGCTCTGACCAAAGGGAAGCAAGTTTCTGTTACTAGTTTCAGAAAACGTTTCCTTGTTTCCCCATTCATTCACCACTCCTTTCCCGAACTTGGAGGGTGCAGAG